CCGGGTTCAGTCTGGGTGTCGCACTGCGTTTGAGGATCCTCTTGCTCGCTTAAGGGACGGTAACGGGTCTTCGAGTCTGCGAGAATGTTCTGGACGAAGGCGGCGTACTCCTCGACGGTCTTCCACTCTCGAGCCACAACGTGCGTGGAGGATCGGTGGCCGTACACGCTTGCTGTGCGAGGGTCGCTTGCGGCAGGGGACAGGCTCAACAGGTAGTCGTCCAGTTCGCTGAGCAAGCTCGTGTACGAGCTTGGGGCCTGATTGTACGTGTCGCGGACGCGGGGGAACACATAGCGGGGCTCGTCACTCGAAGCGAAAGCGCCTTTCATCGACCCACTATAGTACGGGACTTCACGGACTGAAACCTCGATGGCCTTCTTCTTTGGTTCGGGCTCTGTGCGCATCGGCGGGAACGCCTTGTCCTCCACGTCCATCTTAGCCTCGTATACGGCCAACGCATCGAGTTTCGCCGGTCTTGAAGGTTCGGCGGGCGGGGCGAGCGGCGTACGAAACTTCGAATTAACTTGTTGGGCGCGGCCGTAGCGGCTCCTATCCCCGGACGTAAGTAGCGCAATAAACTCCTCGTGAATTTGTTGCCGCGTGCTCGACGCCAGTGTTGGTGGAGGAGAGGAGCTAGCCGGCCTAGGGAGCGCCTCGCGGGCGCGAGGCATCTCCTCGGTGCGGACGTGGACCTTGCTCGCTTGCTTGCCAACTTCAGGATACATGGGCGCCAATGAGCTGAACCCCAGCATTGTCGCCTCTTCCTCATCGTCTTCGCCCGCCGCGAGCATCTTGAGCTTCATCGGCTTCGGCCTGGTCGGCGAACCCGGCGGCGTCAGCGAGAAGAGCTCAGAGCCGAATTCCCACGTGCGACTGTAGCGGCCATGGTCGTTGGATGCCACGGTGGTGAGGGAATCCTTTGTCGAGAACTGGCTGCTCACTGAGCTTGTTGGAGAGAGCGGTGGCGTGCTCATAAGGCTCGATGTGGGCGACAGAACACGTGCGCTTGTGCGTCCGAAAGGGGTTGATGGAGGGCAATGACGAGCGCATGGACGCAGGGGTGCGGGTTGGGACGGGGGCGAGGACTGTAGGGATAGTGGTGATTCCGACATTGGGAAGATAGGCGGCTCTGTTGTGGCGGCAGGTGTCATGTCAGTGGCGAACGCGACAGTAGCGCTGACAAATTTACCGTCTCCATTCAAACAGCTGTCGGTACCTGGGGTTTTCTTGTACGATTGTTTTTGTTTGTCCGGAACGGAGGCAGTCGTACAAGACGATTCACAGCCATACTGACCGGAACGACGCTGTTCATGTTCCGACTCGTTGTAGCCAGACGCGCAACTGGTGTGTGTTGCTAGCTCAGCTGGGGCGGCCAGCATCGTACTTGCTAGAGTGGGGAATGTTGTTGCGAGTCCTGGGGGAGGGGGGTTCATGGTGGTCGAAAGTCAACTTGAGGTAGGCGCCCCAACAGCCTTTTAAACCAGGTGACTATTGCGGGTACGTCCTTCTCCGCGAGCTGATGTGTTTCTGATGATCGTGTTTTCACTGAAAACATTTGCTTCCCCTTATTTTCCGACTGCGGAGACAGCCCGTGATTTTGGTACGAGTGCGTTTATGGTCTCTCTTTTGTTCACAGCCGCCACCGCCGTGCTAGCCTCGGCGGAACGATAGCCGCCGGTCGGTTGAGCCGGCGAGAGCGTCGGGAGACTCAGATTTTGTGCCTCGGGATCACTTGTTAAACGATTCTCACGGTTGTGAAACGTAAGAGGTTGGCTGTGGAAGGATAATTGAGAGAGGGCAGGCATTACTCCGGCCTCGATGAGACGGCCGGTAGTTTTGTGGCGTTGGCGTCAGTGGTACCGCCAAAGTGCGCTGTGAAGGCTGTGGCGCACGGTTCACCGTCCACAGCGAGAGACTGCTCTGAATAGAAGAATGTATAGTCTTTATAGCTTCCAAGTTTACTTTATCACCGATAACGAGAGCGGAGGGATGGACGCATCGAACGATCTGTGATCGCCGTGGGCCTTCCCTGCACACAGCTTATTGGTATTTGCGTTATGAATGTCCTACAAGCATTACACAGCCTTGGATGATACACAACTGATAGAATCTATTCAGGATGATGTGTTGTGAATCTCGGACTGCTGTGTTTTGTCGAAATCCTTATCCGCTTTTCGAGCTGAGACCGGGATACCGGCGCCTCGTGCGCGCGTTATTTACACTACACTACGGGTATGGACTGATTTCAAATCACCTGAAATGTCCAGGTCAAGCCATCAGAACTGTATCATTTTCGGAGACTTGACCGTGGCTTTCCGGCGCCCCAAAATGATAAATTTGCTACCACTTTTGTAGCCATTTGCGGTGCAGGAAAATGATAAATTTTGTGTAGCCTGAAATGAACCTGAAATGACTGAATATGGTTACATTTCAGTACGACAAAGAGTTGATGTTTCAGGAGACTTTGTGGCGCATTTCAGGACATCTGAAAGAACATATGGAGAGATCATTTCTGCCTCATGTTTGCGATGAGGAAAGGTCCGGGCGAGGAAAGCTTTTGATGGTCCTAAAATTACCATTTCTGATGGCTTTTGAAGCTGTTTCATGAGCTAGAAGGTTTTTACTTGAGATAAGACAGAAATGTCCCAGAAATGTACTACAAATTTGCTGTAAATGATAATTTCAGGACCATCAAAAG